TCAGGAGACTCTCTTTTAGTAAAGTAGGACTGCTTTCCCTTTCCGGCCCCCTACTTGGAGACTTATGGTTCTCAGTAGCCTATTAAAGGTTCTGAGGATGATTAAAGACATCTGTTGGATGCCGTTTAATTTGGCACATTCTAACTTTAGGAGGTTGTGAAATCTTTTCATGTCATCTGTTAACATCAGAGCACCCTCGGGAAAATGGGAACGAAGACATCTCCAATGCGTCATGATTTGTTTGAACCATAGTCCACATTTCTTGCAGCCTGGTGCCACCAGTCAGTCAAGCCTACCTTGCCGTCAGAACTGATTTCCCATTTGTGTTACAATACAAATGGCCCCAAACTTGCCAAAAGTCGTGCCCTGGGCCCTTAAAGGCTTCTGGAGAGTTGTGGCTGGACAGACATCCCATCATGAACATTACCCACTGTTCCCCAGCATGCCAAACCTGCACCTACAAAACCAGCTCAGCATGGAGGTTGACAAAATCACCAAGGAAGGAGATTTTTCAATTGTAGCTTACTTCACGCTCATATTCACATCTGAGTTTAACCTAGAAACTCTTGTGTCTGTAAGAGCCAGATGCATGGGTCTGTTCATGGGGGCCCTGTGTCTATTGGAGAGGAGAAGGTGGGGGAGAGCGCCCCACTGCTTCCTCTGGTGACTTGGAGAGCAGGGTGGCTCTAAGACCAGTTATTCTTTGCATGCTTCTAACCATAATGGGCCTCACTTTCCTCAGTTGCGGAAGGGAAAGAATGATCCCTCGTCTGCCTATCTATCTCTCAGCTTTCTCAGGAAGATCCAATATAACAATGCACGTGAAAGTATTTTCTTACATCTACTGTGCTATGCACCTGATCCAAACCATGATCTTTTCCATTGCTTGCTATGCATCTGAAAGTTGAACAACAAATAAGGATGACAGAAGAAGATTTGATGCTTTTGAGTGCTGATGATGGAGAAGAGTACTGAATATCCCGTAGACTTAAAAGAAGAGACAGATAATAAGTCTTTGAAAATGTGCACCCCAAGTGCTCCTTGGAGGCAAAGATGGTGGAGCTTTGTCTCTCATACGTTGGACATGTTGTTAGGAGGGGCTAGTCCTTAGAAAAGTTGTCATACTTGAAAGGAGGAGGAACAGAGAAAAAGAAGACCCTTGGCTAGATGGATTGACTAGGTGACTGCAATGATGAGCTTGAGTTTGTCAGAGTTCATGAGCGGATGGCACAGGACAGGGCAGAGTTGAGATCCGTTGTTCACAGGTTTGCTACGAATCATAGACAACTCGATGGCACTGGTAACAACAAAAGCAAGCAGCAACAGCAACGACAACAACAACAACAAGGTACTCTCGGAAGTTTCTGGATGATAGGAACAGTCAAAATGCTGAGCTGCCAATCAAAAGGGTGGAGGTTCAAGTCCATTCAAAGGAAGCTCTTGAGAAAGGCCTTATGATCTACATCTGAAAGACTGCGACTGAAAAATCCCACAGGGCACAGCTCTGCTCTGACACACATGGGGTTACCATGAGTCAGAATAATGTCAATAGCAACTTGGTTTTTGTTTTGTTGGTTTGTTTTGTTTTGTTTTGTTTTAAGGTATTGTCCAGTAGGCTCACACTGCTGACATGTGAATTAATCTCTCTGCACTAGGGCAAAAGAGTGAGAAGCAGCAGCTAATTAGGAGTGAACATGAGCTTTTACTAGCTGCCATGGGATTGAGTTCATTCGTAGCAAACCCATGGGCCCAACTCTGCATCCCTGAGGAGGACCAATGAATTTTCACTGACTGACTTTTGGAAGGAGATCACCAGACCTTTCTTCCTCATCTATGTTAATCTTGGAAGATCTGCTGAAATCTGTCTAATATCCCAAACCCCAAATAACCAAACCTATTGTTGTTGAGTTGATTCCAATTCCTATCAATCAGCCCTGCAGCAAAGAGTAGCCTTGCCCCTGTATGTAGGGTCCCCAAGTCTTTATGGATAGAGACTGTTATGCCACATCTTCCTTTCTGTAGAGCAACTGGTGGGTTTGCTCTGCTGACCTTTTGGTTACAGCTGAGGGCTTGCCCACAGTGCCACCAGCATTAAGGCAATGAGAGAACTTCTGCAGACAGAAGGGTGGTGGCTGTATATCAGCTACATTGACTGGGTAAACGAACCTGGGTCTCCCGCACAGGAGTCAAGAATTCTAGCACTGAACCACCAATATCTCCAAACACGTGATGCTGTTGTTTGCTGTTGAGTCAGCACTGACCCACAGCTGACCCTCCAGTGGGTTTTCAGACACAGTAAACCCTATGAAAGGAGACTCCCATCTTTCTCCTGTGGAGAAGCTGGTGCACTTGAACCTCACACTTTTAGGATTGGAGCACAGCTTCTGACTGACATTAGAAGACCTGGATCTGCTGTTTACTTCACGACCTCAGCTCCACATGGCTCTCCCACTGTGTGCACCTCACCTCAGAAAGACTCTAGTATTTAAAGATATGCCATTTTCCATACCACACAGTTCTGCAATGCAAGCCAGGTACTTCACCTGGCACCCAACCAAAGCAACAGACATCTGTGGCGACCCAGGGCTGAACACTGCCCATGCTGAACTTCTCCCCAGGCAGCATGCTGGGCTCCACTGAGGCACCTTCCTGTGGAGTTTTTACAGGTAATGTTGACTGCTTGCCACCTTCTGCTGGAATGTGTAACTTCTAAGCCAGGGGTGCTTCCTTTGTACAGCTGTTCTGTTCATTCCCATCAAACACCTCTGACTAGATCTCCACAGGCTTCCTGGGAGTGAGAAAATAAATCCACTCGTAGTGCACAGGGAAGGCTAGGTTGAGCCCAACAGGGCTGTGGCATGCATCCCTGTGTTAACAGCTTTTTCTCCAAGGACATGGGCTTGACACTCACTGACAGTGGTGCAGCATCCTCACCCCACAGGCTAGTTTTTAAGGCTGGCAGTGGCTCTCACCCCAGCCCCCCAGACACAGACCAAGGCAGTGAGCCTGCGGTAGTAGCACCAGGCACGCAGCCTGTTTGCAGACGCGGCCCTCCCCCTCTCATTCATGCTGCAGCTCATTCACAATGCCTGGTGCTGGCAGGCTGCGGCTGGGCGCCGTCACTGGCACTCCGTGTGGCAATTTATTTCTGGCTGTGGGTGCGTGTGTGTTTGAGGGAGAGGGAGAGGGAGTGAGAGAGGCACTCTCTTCTTACAGGGGGATTTGTTTTCTTTCCAACCAGACCAGCTACCAGGACTTCCAGTTTTCTCTGCCTTAGACTGAGAATTTGATTGTGCTAGGCATTTTGCATGCATTGCCTTACTTAATGCCTTGCTGCCACCTTTAAGGTAAATACTTTGCAATGCCATTTTATGCATGATGGACTAATGGGTAGAGATGTTAAGTAAAGTACCCCAAATCAAACTGACAGCAAATGAGAGAGCTGTGCTGGGAGCTCCAGGTCATCAAATTCCAATGCCAGTTATCTGCCATTGCACAGCATTACCTGTTGACTCTTTTCCAGAGGTTGCCAAGATGTCACTTACCTCCGCCCCCATTCTTATTATGTTTTCATGCAATTCCAACACCTGACTGATTGCCCCGGAACACAGGGTTTATAAATATACAGGACATACTGGGAGTGGCTGGATGGCTGGATTCTGAGAGCACTCGGAATTCTTAGAATTGAGGCTGGGAGCACTTCGCCCACTGTCTGTGCCTCTCCTGGTTCCATCTCAAACCGTTTCTCTATAACCTCAGCCTTCTCTCTCAAAATAGTTTGAACCCATTTTCTAAAGTGTGCTACACACACACACACACACACACACACACACACACCCATGGCTATCACACTATCATGAGAAGGTCACTGACTTTGTCAGAGGACATAGTTCAAGAGCTGGCTCTGCTAGCACCTAGCCTTGCAATCCCAGGCATGACAATCTCCTTGAGCCTCAGTTTTCCCATCTGTAAGAAGGGAAAGATAGACAAATGGGCATGCTCATAGTTGAGGAATTGAAATCATATTATAAGCAGTAAAGTGATGTCCCTTATCACATTTGGTGTTATCTATTTCAGACCTGGACACTGTTCACTCGGGCTCATCTTTGGCTCTTGGTTTAGTAAGAATGGCAGAACTCAGCTCAGTCATTGGCCTCTCATCTGGGGGAATGTTATCTCCTAAGCTGGAACCTGCTGGACCCCTTGGCCTTTCTCAGAGATTTTCCTCATGACCACATTGTCTGACTTTGGGACAGGAGGCTGGCTGGTCAGCCACTGCAGCCAGACCAATGCTGGCCCCAGCAGCTGCCTCCGGGTGCTTCAGGGTTAATGTTTGTGCGTCAAAGTTACGTGGAGAGAAGGGGGCCTGGTGAGGATGGGGGCGATGGTGATTGTAAAACTAGAGCTCTCTTTAACATCCTTGCTCCAGAGCTAAGCTGGAGAAGTTTAAAGATGGAGACAAATGTGCCCCTGAGGAGGATGAAGGAGTGGTCTTGTGACTGACAGCATCACCATGCCTGGGTTCTGCATCTCAGTGCAGCCAGGAGCAGGAAGCCTGGAGCCTGACCACAGACCCTGCCAGGAGGGACCGAGACTCAGTGCAAAGCCACAGGCAGCTTATAAACCTGTGTGCCCCCCTGGTTCCTCTAACCATCACAACTACCCCATGAGATAGACAGAGCAAGCAGTACCCCACTTGACAGGCAGGGCCAGGGAGGTTAAGAGATGAAGGTTGAACAGCACGGAGGCTTCCAGGGAGCTGGAGGTCCTGACATCCATAAGGACATACCTCCAGCTGGAAGCCTCTAGGACTGTCACCAGGATGCAGCAGGCAGGCATTGCAGGTGGGGCACACAGATATTTTGCTCCCCTTTTTCTGTCCTGAAATGCAGAATGTTGCCCCTCATCAATCATCCTTGGAGTGATGACCAGATGACGCTCCAGGGACATCCTAGCGGGACCCTCATTTAAGCTTATTTTCCGAGGCAGCTCCAACTTACCCTTGATACTAGAGAGTCAGGAAAGCCTGAAGCTGGAGCTCAGATGCCCAAGTCACTCATCAAAGTGGCCTTTCCGAACCACTCCCCAGGTGCCGCATGCCTCCCACTAAGCAAAGCAATCCCACAGCCAAGAAAAGTAGGTTCGTCTTACCCAGGGACTCAGAAAGAATCGCGCTCTTGGGCTCCCACTTCAGCTCCTACAGGTCTGTGAGGATTAGCTGCTTCAGTGCTTTAACAATAACCCGAATTAAAGGGGAGGAATGCAGGGGTTTTCTTTCCCAGGACCGTAACCAGGCAGCCTTAAAGGGGAGTGAAAGTCGCTAGGGTGGCTGGCACCTCTCCTGCCTAGCCTCTGCCCTGCATCCCTCCCTCCCAGCTGCATCCAATCTGATGTGGAAAAAAAAATTGCTTTTTTTGAAGAGGGCCTTTTATGTTTGTTGTGGGTGTGTTTGCATTTGTGGAAAGAGAGACGAGATAAAAATAAGCAACAAAATTATAACATCAACTTACAGGCTTCCACTGGCCCTAATGGATTGGTTGAAAGAAAATCACAGAAGCTTTCCAAGACTGCCTGCCTCAGTTTCCCTTTTAACAGCTCACGTGCTGGATTGATGCTGAACTTTGTACCGTTGTGGTGTCAAATGGCATAACCATTATCCGTGGTGGATATGGTGTTTGGTGGAGTTCCCAGTTTTAAGACAGGTGTAGAAGCAGGAGTGGCGTCCACTTCCTAAACAACATGCCTCTGGAAACCATGAACTTGGAGAAAGAATAGTTAGAGAAAGGCTTCAGGTCTTTTGTTCATAGAATCGCTATGAGTCATGCTCAACTCGATGGCAATCAACAAATGCACCTTCTGGAGCAGTCACATGTTCATAGTGGCAAGAACGTGGAGATTGAAGACCTCTCAGAAGCCCTCACCTCAGCTTATTGTTTATCAGAGGGTGAGGAGAGAACCCCTTTGAGGTCCCACAGGAGGATCCTATGCTGGAAGGTTCTACCCAGTGTCTCTGCTTTGGGGAACTTCACTCCATGACTGATATGGGGGACTTGATGTAAGTTGGGGGATCATGACCTTTTCCTTGCCAAATTTGCCATTCTCTGTTCTTTTTTTAAGTCCTACTCCATTAGTCCTGAGAGACCATCCCCCACATTGTACACATTCTCAGCTCCCTCTCCAATCTCCACCCTGCCCTTTGACCAGCTACACTGCCCACCTTAGCTTCTCTTAGGCACTTGCTACAGTGTAGTTTCCTTCAACCTCCGTCTTCTGTTCTCTTGCTTCTCCTTCTCTACTCCATGGCTTGGTGCTGCTGTTGTTGTTTACCATTATGTCAGAACCAACTCATAGCTGACCCTCTAATCAGTACCACGAGGCCACCAGAGCTCCCTACTCACTGGCCCAGTGGTAAGGAATCACATTGACAACACAAAGGTACATGGTTCTCAACCACCGGCTGGTCCCTGGGAGAAACATAGGCAATCTCCACTTGTGCAATTTACAGCCTCTGAAAGCCTGCCAGAGAGTCAACTGTGGGTCAGTTCTGACCCAACAGTTGTTGTTGTTGTTATGTGCCGTCAAGTTGCTTGCGACTCATAGCAACCCTATGTACAACAGCCCCAAACTCTGCTCTGTCCTGTGCCAATCACACCGTCTCCAACACACCCATCCTGATTACCCCAGTCACTGAATCAATCCACCTCAAACAGGGCCTTCCTCTCCGTGCCATCCCTCCACCCTCCCAAGCATGATGTCGCTCTCCAAGGACCGGTCTCTCCTTATAACATGACTGAAGTATGTCAGACGAAGCCCCAGAATCCTTGCCTCCAAGGAGCAGCCCAGTTTAACCCTCTCCAGGATGAATCTGTTTGTTTTCTTAGCAGTCCATGGTACACTTAATACTCTTCTCAGCACCACAGCTCAAAGGCATCAATTCTCCTTCTATCCTCCCTAGTCATTGTCCAACTCTCTGATGCATAGCAAATGATTGCAAAGACCATGGCCTGTATCAGACGCACCTTAGTCTCCAGAGTGACACCATTGCTCTTCAGTACATTGGAGAGGTCCCTAACAGCAGACTTTCCCATCACAATATATCTATTAATTTCCTGGCTGCTGGTACCAAGAGTGTTGATTGTGGAGCCAAGCAGACTAAAGCTGTGAACAATCTCAATCTCTTCACCATCCATCCTGATGCTGCCAATCGGTCCAGTGATGAGAATCTTTGTTTTCTTGATATTGAGCCTCAGTCCATATTGAAGGCTGCAGTCCTTGACCCTCTGCAGCAAGTGCTTCAGGTCTTCGTCAGTTTCAGCAAACAGGGTTGTGTCATCTGCATAACGCAGATTGTTGATAGATCTTCCACCAATCCTGATGCCACGTTTCTCCTCGTAGAGCCCAGCCTCCCGGATAATCTGTTCTGCATACAGGTTGAAAAGGTATGGAGATAGGACACATCCCTGGCGTACACCCTTGCTAATTTTGAACCATGCAGTGTTTCCTTGCTCTGTCCTGACGACTACCTCTTGGTCCAAGTGTAGGTTTTGCATTAGTACCATCAAATGTTCTGGGATTCCCATTCTTCTCAGAGTCAAACACAGTTTGGTAAGATCCACACAGCCTTTGCATAATCAATGAAACACAAATATACATTCTTCTGGTATCCCCTGCTTTCAGCTAAGATCCATCTAACATCAGCTACAATATCTCTAGTACCACAACCCCTTCTAAACCCAGCCTGGACTTCTGGCATTTCTCTGCTGATGTGCTGTTCTAATCATTTTTGAATAATCTTCAGTAGAATCTTGCTTGCATGGGAAATCAATGATATCATTCTATAGTTTCCACACTCTGTTGGGTCACCCTTCTTTGGAATGGGAACAAATATAGATCTCTTCCCGTCAGTTGACCAAGTGGTTGTTCTCCAGATTTCTTGGCACATCAGGGCAGCATCCGTTAGCTGAAATACGTCAATTGGTATGCCATCTATTCCTGGGGCCTTATTCTTTGCTATTTACTTCAAAGCAGCTTGAACTTTTCCCATCATCACCATAGGCTCTTCCTCCAGGACTCCACAGTTGTGGTTGTTGTTGTTGTTGTTATGTGCCATCGAGTCGCCTGCGACTCATAGCGACCCTATGTACAACAGCCCTAAACTCCGCTCTGTCCTGTGCCAATCGCACTGTCTCTGACACTCCCATCCCAATTATGCCAGTCACTGAATCAATCCACCTCATAGAGGGCCTTCCCCTCCTGTGCTGTCCCTCCACCCTCCCAAGCATGATGTCCCTCTCCAAGGACCGGTCTCTCCTCACAACATGTCCAAAGTGTTTCCACAGTACACAACAAAAATCTGTACACAACAGTGTTACTATCTTCACGTTGATATCTAAATTCAACATCCCTGTCTCGGTTGTCTTCTTTAACATCAGCATCCAAAAGTCTACTTCTATTCATGAACAAAACGGGGAGAACCATGACTGCCTTAAGATTAACTGTCCTATTTAATAAATCTGAACGTTTTCTTTGGCTGTTTTGTCTACTTCGTTGTCTTCCAGATCCAAAATGCTGTCATTCATTTTTAATTGCTTCATTGAATAAACTTTTTTACCTTTTTTATATTATTTTTAATTTTTAAAATGAATAGTACATTCCTATAGATAAAAAAATTAGCAATTATATTGTTCAAATTTCCACATTTGGCTGGATTTCATTTCTTGGGAATGAAAACAAATAGGAATCTCTTCCAGTCAGTTTGCCAGGCAACTGTCCTCCAAATTGGACAGATGATCACATTTAGGGTTATATCTGTTCATTGGAACATATCTGTTGGTATATCATCTATTCCTGAAGTTTTATTTTGTGCCAATGTCGTCAATGAAGCTTGAACTTCTTTACTTCTTACCATTGGCTTTTGTTCACATGGTACTTCCTGAAATTTTTTAATACCTACCAATTCTTTTTGGTAAAAGGATTGTGTGTATTCATTCCATCTGCTTTTGATGCTTCTGGGATCATTCAAGATTTTGCCCACAGCATCTCTCATCATTGCAGCTTGAGCTTGAATTTGTTTTTCAATTCTCTCGGCTTGAGAAAAGGTGAATGAATTCTCCCCTTTTCATTGTTTTAGCACCAGATCTTTGCACATTCATTATAATACTTAGCTTTTATAATACTTTGCACATATTGCTATAATAATTTGAATTTAGAAGATGCTGTGATGTCAGCGATATCATTGCTGATGTCAAATGGATCCTGGTTTAAGGCCGAAAATACCAGAAGAATGTCTATTTGAGTTTTATTGATTCTGCAAAAACATTTGACTATGTGAATCACAACAAACTACGGCTAATATTGAGAAGAACGGGAATCCCAGAACACTTAATTGTATTCATATGAAGCTGTTGTCTGAACAGAATAAGGGAATACTGCAAGATTTCAAATTAAGAAGGATATTCCATTGTGTGAACGTACCATAATTTCTTAATCCATTCCTTTACGGTTGGATGTTTGTGGTTGCCATGTTCTGCAAAGGTGAATAACGCTGCTATGAACACTGGTGTACAAATCTCCATTTGTGCCTCAGTTCTAATTTTCTCAGGGTGTATTACAAGTAGTGGAATAGCTGATTCATATGGAATTTCTATGTTCAGCTTTTTGAGGAGGCGCCAAACTACATGCAGGAACCATGATTTTGTGAATTATTACCTACCTTGGGAGGGACTGGTGAGCAATATGTTGAGTGAACTAATTCAGTTCCACAAGGATAAATATTGTGTAAAACCATTATTGTAGAATGAGAATAAGGACCCAAGAGGGGTAGGAGAGGCTGGAAGCAGAGGGATGTGGATGTGCAGGGGGAGTGGGGATTAATCATCAGGTTGTACAATTTGATAGAGGCGGTGAAGGAATTTGTTTGAATTTGTATTCTAATTTTGGAAATAAACTAGTGGAAAAGAAAAAAATAAAATAACATATAGTTTTAAAGAAACAAACAAAAACAAAACAAAAAAATAAAGGAGGGTATGCATCAGGGTTGTATCCTTTCTGCGTATCTATATGCTTGAGGCAGACCCTGGCCCAAGAAGACACAAACTAAGTGAAAATAGGAAACGTGTTTAACAGACTCAAATCCCAGGAGCAGCGGCAAGTGAATAGATCTAATCATATAAGGGAGACACAAGTTTGGCAATAAATAACAGAGAAACT